TATGAAAGTAAAATTGAAACTTCTCAATTTACTTATCTTCCTGATGGTCACATTCCCATTTCTATAAAGGAAAACTATCTAGGAATGTATTGTAGAATAAATACATATTTCATATTTTTATTTCTTGCATAATTAAAATTTTCATTCTGGAAAATTTTGTGAATTAACTTAATCTTTGTTTCTTTCACTCATTAATTCATTTGCCTTGCCTTATTGCTTATTGGCTATTTTCACAGAACTACTGGGTATGTGTCTGCTTGATCGCTGGATATTTAACAGAAAGTAATATATACAAAAATAAAATAGAATAAAGATGAATACAGCATAAATCCAAGTACATTATACACATGCTTATATACACACATGCACACACTCAATTTTTCCACAAATGCCATTCCCTGTAGATACATTCCAGCTGATCTGATGTCATCTGAAGTTAAACCTTTTGAGTTGAGCTTGATTCCAAAATCAATTGACTCCATATTTATATATAGTCACTTTATGCATGTTTACCCTACAGCTTGGGTTCTCTCTCTCTCATCCAATTACTAATTGGGCCCAAACTTGCTTTGTACAAAGTTAACCAAGTGCTGCTACAAATGAGTAGGTAATATACAACAAGTTCATACAACTTAAATCATGACTTTCTTTGGGCTCACTATGATGCATAAACCCAGGCACTTCACTTGCAAATTATGGTTTTATGATTGATGTTATGTGAACAAAGCTACAGTGTCTTGTTCAACAAACTATAATTAAAAATTCTGCAGCTTGTGCAATGTATAAATTCATTTCAACATAATACTCCTTAAACAAGAATTTTTGTAAGATTTAACCTTTATGAATACTATATATGAAGAAATAATCTGGTTGTCCTACCTTTCAAACTAACCAAGGCTTTTGCTGATGAACCTGAAACAAATAACAAAACTCAATAAAGTCATATTATTTCTAACAATAACATTATTAGCCTTGCTGCATTTACATCTGACAGACTTAAGAACTCAGTCTTTAAACCCATAAGTTGATAACAGGTTCAAAGACATTATATTATTCCAGATGGAGCCAATCAAAGCCTTTCAACTAGGCTAGCACTGAAGTTCGCATTGCTAATTTACCCATTTATTCGAACTTAAACACCTTCTGCTTAGTCAGCATGGCACAGCAAGATTAAGGATGAAATGGTAAATTTGCTGTTCCACTTTTCAATACTCCACTATTAATATTTTGACTTCATATTTTTGTGTTAAAAGAAAGCATTTAAGCCATATCTACTTTATAGATGTAAACGGATTTCAAAACTTTTACAAACTCATACAAGGAAATATAACTGTGGAAATCTACAGTTTTGCATAAGGAGAGATTTTTTTTAAAAGAAAACATTTTTATGTTGCAAAAAAAGCATGTATTAGAGATTATAGCTATAATATTCAAAACAAAATTAAAATGTAAAACAAAATACCAGAAGCATAGTAGTATAAAGTAATGTATATTAAATTCGAGTTTGATGCTATAGGGCAGACCTGTCTAACTGGCGGCCCGCAGGCCACACCCATTCCGTCTTCGCAAAGGCAAAAAATGTTGTGATACGTCGAGTGACATGATCGAGTTTGACACCTGTGCTAGAGGGCTTTGTGATTGTTCATTTCAGCACCTACTGCTTATTTCTCAATTTATAATAAACTGGTTACATTCAAATGGTCAACCATAAATTTTACTTTCTTCCAAATCAGGATCAAAGTCATACATTCATAAAAAATATTTATTGCAATTTCATACAAGATATAACACAAGATGCCCACAAAGGAAATTTTCAGTGGTGATTAACAATGTATATTGAAATAGTGAATCCTACAGATGGCTTATATTTTACATTAAGGAACTGAAATACTTCAAGATGAAATATAATCTGCAAATATTGGGTTAATATATTTATGCATCAGATCAGGTTTTTCTTTAAGAAGAGGAAACTATGAACATGCTTTTAAATTTTATTTTAATATGTCTATATTTATTTTTCAATAATTCTCCTTTGATGATGGATTATATCGTCACCAACAGCGTTTTAGCTGAAAAAGGCATTCACTATGCAGCTGAATAAATTGTAAAGAAAAATATTAGCTTGAATCAAGCCACTGTCCTATCTAGTCCAGTATTCTGTCAGATGCATTCCAGAAGATTACAAACATGGAGTTATAATGCTAAACCTAAAATTATTCCTTCATGTGGCTAACCTTAACAGAATGTTCTATAGAGAAAATTAAAAAACTATTATATTCATATTGCCAAATGAATTTGATATCACCAATGTATTATATGTTATTTCTATTTTATAATCACCAATTCATACATTGTTGTATTAAGCTAATAAGATGTTTCTCTATGTCATAAAGCAATGCAGGTTTTCTCAACTAGATTGGCTAATCATAAGGTTTATTTACTCAGCAATAAAAAATTGACAAACATGTCTATATAGTCTATAATGTACTATGCTTTGCAGTCCTATTCTGGCATCCAACGTACTTCAATTTGACTTCCTTCTAAATATATTCATGATTTTAGCTTAATTTGGGGAATTTAGGTAGTAGACTGTTAGAGAACTAATTTTATAAAAATGAACTTTAATTATATGTATGTTAATTTAAACTGTCTTCTCAGTATATGGGCATGTATTTATGCAGGTGATGGCTAAAAAAGGCTTTTTAGAATCAGAAATTCCTCAATATTAATCTAAATCCCTGTCCTTTGAGAATCAAGTGTTTACTGCCAGATGTAGAACTTAAGTAGACTCTAACATCTAGTTGTGACCTCTTGTATAAGAAATATATAATCACATGAATCCCAGCCTACAAATTAAACCTTTGAACTAGAAAACCCAAGTAGTTTTGACATCCAGCATTTGAGAGAATTAAATCAAACACATTAGAAACAGGCTTTTCTAACCAGATGTTAGATTCTAGCTGTCAGCATCCAGATGATCTAACAATATTGTCTGGAGCTTATGAAAGCTAAACTCCAGCAATATTTACCAAAACCTAAGGTTGTGCACCTTAGGTGGTATACTTGGAATGGCATGAGATTACAATAATTTAGAGGTGAATAAAATTAAACCTTATTTAGAATATAATTTATTTTCCACATAAAAGAGCTTTTCTAGTAGATCATACAACAACATGTGATAAACATGCACTCAGCATTTGGCTTAAGCAGTAAAAGCAAAGGCAAATGACATGGAAAGCATAAATAATTTACTATTTTTTTTGTCCATGTTGATTCTTCATCATGGCACACATTTATGGGTGGATTAGTTAATTGAAAGATACACAGAAATAAAAAAAGCAATGGTTTAATTTGCAATTTTGTATATTCTTAACACATTTTCTGAATATATAATTTACACATTCTTTCAGTTACATATAGGATAACAGAAAAATTACCTAGCATTTGACATTTTCTTACACTATATTTTGAATGTCAAACATTTCTGACTATCAATTTAACATTCAAAATTATTGACAATACCATATATTACTAATTTGTCATAAATATAATAAAGAGTATTAAGTTCTGCAGTGTGTTTATATGCCTTGTCTCTTGTCCAGCTATCATATATATACCACACAAGGAGATAGTCTGAAATCCATAAGCAAAAGTTCACTCCCCAGAGTGAAATTTTCTTCTCCCTTCATTATTACATAACCTATAAATTCAATCTAGATAGTTCCAGATTCAAAGAATCTTTGAAACCTGGAATTCTTCACATTAGATTGAAGAATGAAATCTATGATTTGATTTCTTCCATATTATAAAATAAAAATGCTTGTAATATTACATTATTATTTTAAAGCAATATGCAGTTTATCCATTATGATTATATCTTGTGTTGTCTTTTATGTCATTTCATGTCTTTCATCAATGGCCTTATTTCAATATTCACTGTGCAACATCAATACATGTTCCACACACCTTTATCAAATTCAATTTTGCAAAATATAGACAGGAATATTTGATATTATCTTTTACCATTAAAAGTAATGGTTTTTTTTATTTATATATCTACATCATACATATTTACAAACAAGCCAAACAAACATCTTTACCAATTGCTTCTATAGTACCTCTCAAACTTTTATAAAAAGGTATCCTAGAATGAACAATTTTCTTTCCACTTCATTGGTGGCTCAAATAGTACTGTATATCTATCTTGCTATATGAGGTACAGATCAGTATATATTGAAGTGATTTGCAGGGAATCAGAATTTCTTCTGCAATATTAGTAATGATGAATTCAATCTTCTCAAATTACAGTGCTGAATATAAAAAGCATGAAGTGATCTGGATTTATATTCATGTAAGGAAGAAGTATGCCATACATTCAAGTCCCAATTTTCATTTAATTCCAAGGAAATGACTTCCAGCAAGGTCTGACTGTTGACTCTCAGGATTCTATATGAAACAAAATTAGTTCTTCAGATCTGATATTTGTTCGTTGCTGCTCTATCCCCAATTGTTCAGTCAGTACTTTCAGAGAGGTGTGCCTTCCATTCTCAGTTTAAAAACATTTGATTTTGCTTCCAGTAATTTTTCCAAGCTGCTAATTTCACCATATAGATGGGGCCGCTCCCGATAACAGTAGTATAATTTCCCAGATATAATACACAAATTGTTTAAATATATAGGATGTAGACAACAGGACTACCCGAGACTTGCTTTTCTATTTACAGACCATTAAAAAGTTTATCACCTCTATAAACATTATCGTTTGGGCATATATAAGATTGGCATATACAAGAGAAGAGTTAGACATAAAACCGTACTTAATACACTTTAAAAAGAGTTTCCCAGGAACCAGTGCACTTCTCAGAGTAAAAAGTCAAACAAACAAATCCCTCCAAGCATACAGGAGGTTAACGTCATGACAACTACTAGAAGGATGCTCACTGCAAGACAAATATCACCTTTACTTTATTTACGGCGTGAAGCCGTAACTCGCCCTCCCTGCCTACCCCGGAGAGGCGTAATGCCACTCGCTGCCCTCCACACAACGCTTCTCTGCCCGATTTGAAAAAGCGTGCGTTCTTCCCTGCCAAGGACGGACTCAATCCCGGTTCCGGCCTGCTCCGAGTCTCGGGGTTCAGGGTGCGGTTCAGTCCCACCAGGAGAAGGGCAGTTTATATAATAGCGGCTTCCGGCCCTGCTCGGTTGGCCTCTCCCCCACCCCCCTTCCAAAAGTCGAGGGAGAGGCCGGAGGGGAGGCCATCAGAGAACAGAGCCGGGCCAGGCACCGAGAGAAGAGATTGTGACGCCGGCCCCGCGCAGCTCCGGCTCCTACTACAAGAGCAGCAGCAGGAGCAACAAAAGAAGTAGCAAGCGCCGGCGGAGGAGCGAGACCCGAGACTGTGACTCAGGAAAGAGGGAGCAGACGAAGGGTCCGGTAACTAGAGCCACTATTTCGGGAGTGGGTGAGCAGGAAGGGCCGGCGACGGGCAGAGTGAGGGGCAGAGATCGCTACTCACTCTCGTCAGGCAGCTGATCCAACTCCGCCATCTTGAAGGAGCCGCGCCGCTTTTTCAAAGGCTGCCTGTCGCGGTGCATTGTGGGGGAGGAGACGGAGTCCTCTAGTTTTTGCCTGACTGGAGGGAGGAGGCGGGACGTGCGCGAGTCGCTCGCTTTACCCGGGCTCTACGAAGGCTCGGGCGGGAACTCGGCTGTCTCGTGCTTCTCTCTTCGGGCTCGGCGGAAAAAAAAAAAAGAAAGAAAAGTTGTTGCAGTTTTCGTGACAGCTTTACTGTCATCTTTGCACAAGGCGAGAGGAGGCGTGTTTGGGGAAAATGGACGGCTGCATGCAGCGGCCGCACCTGGTCGATGGCTTCATCTGTGGGTGGCTCCATCACTGGAGCTTGGACACTATAATTTGTCCGGAATGGTATAAACCAGGACTCTAGAAAAAGGGCAGAAAAGAGCAACCAGGATGATTAGGGGACCGGAGACTAAAACATATGAAGAAGGGTTACAGGAATTGGGCATGGCTAGGCTAGTGAAGGGAAGGACCAGGGGAGACATGATAGCCACCTTCCAATATTTGAGGGGCTGCCACAGAGAGGAAGGGGTCAAGCTATTTTCCAAAGCACCTGAAGGCCAGACAAGGAATAATGGATGGAAACTGAACAAGGAGAGATTCAACCTGGAAATAAGGAGAAATTTTCTGACAGTGAGAACAATCAACCAATGGAACAGCTTTCCTTCGGAAGTTGTGGGAGCTTCATCACTTGAGACTTTCAAGAAGAGATTGGACTGCCATTTGTCAGAAATGGTGTAGGGTCTCCTGTTTGGGTGGGGGGGGTGGGGTTGGACTAGATGACCTACAAGGTCCCTTCCAATTCTGTATTCTGGACAGCAGATTGTACAGGTAGTCCTCAATTTATAATAGTTCGTTTAGTGACTGTTCAATGTTACAACTAAAAAATGACTTATGACCGGTTTTCACGTTTCTGACAGTTGCAGCATCGCCATGGTGATGCGATCAAAATTCAGGTGCTTGGCAACTGACTCATATTTATGACAGTTGCAGTGTCCTTGGTCACCTTTGGCAACCTTCTGATAAGCAGAATCAGTGGGGAAGCCAGATTCATTTTACAACTATGTTACTAACTTAACAACTGCAATGAATCACTTAACAACTGTGGCAAGAAAGGTCATAAAATGGGGCAAAACTCACTTAACAAATGACTCACTTAGTAACAGAAATTTTGGGCTCAATTGTTGTAAGTTGAGAGCTACCTGTATTTACAAATACTGTTTGTTCTGCTTGCACAAAGTGTTCTCAGTGGGGTATTGCTTTTGGGCAAATACAAAGCAATACCATGGTATCAACTTAGTAATAATTTCTTAATATTTAATGTTGTACTCAAGTGAACTGAGTGGTAACAATGGTATCTTATTACAACTTTTTTTTTCAAAGATATAAATACATAATTGGCCCGATTTGACAAAGAATTGGCCTACAATACCTTTGAACAGTAACTCCTGTATATAGACCACCAGAGAATTTGGCTTAATGTTTATTTCGGCCCTCAATGTTGCTCCTGAAGATATGGCACAGACCTAACTAGCAATAAAAATGGGGTATCTGGATTTTGCATGATTTTTATAAGTGATTTTTAGATGAGATCTGGCCATCAGTTTAAAAATCACTACAGATTGAAATATAAAAATCACAGATTTTACCATTTCAATTACTGCCATATGCAACAACAGATGTAGGGTATTGTCTCACATGAATTCATATATTACACATATCTCTCTGGGTTAGATGATGTAACCTGGCACGGCTACTGCACAAATTCTATTGACGAATACCATCTGGGAAAGATCTGGGATATGTGTGAGCTTGTTGATCCCAAGGAAGTAGTTGGGGTTTTAGGATATGTAAGCTCCACAACCTGTTGATTAGATTCCTACTCCATTTGGCTAGTGAAAGCTGACAGCATGAGAGGAAGCTGGATGTAGATGGTGGTTAATAAGACCTTGTCAGAAGAAGTAATGCCACCTGCAAGACTGCATTGATTATTTTTGTTGACCCGGGAGTAAGATATAGTAGTGGGAGTGTAATGCTTCTGAGCCTGCTTGATTCCTCGACAACCTTCACCACTACTGACTATAATATCCTTCTGTTCCAGTTCTAGTTCCAGTTCCAGTTCGTGAAGGGTAGAGGTCAAGCTCTCAGGCTCCGTAATGTAGGGTGCCTTGGGGGTCTCCCCTCTGCTGTACAACATACACATGAAGCTACTGGGGGAAATCATCCCTTGGAAGGAGTTGCATTCCTGCATATAAATCATTTCTGCAATATGGGGTTTTTCCTGGATTCATGGCTCCCTCAGTAGCAGGTAAAGATGTGGTCAAAAGGACCTGCACACCTTCAACTTATGTGCCAGTTGCAGCTATTCCTGAACTAGGAATTATTGAAATCACTTTATCCTTGTCACCTCAAGCTTGGCCTGATGCTACTTGTTGTATAAGAGGCTGCCGTCCATGCTGTCCTCTATAAATGAAAATGTCTTTAGTTATCTTTCCTATACTTTAAAAACCATACATTGATTCAAAATCATTTAAAACTTGTTTTATGGGATAAGATGTATAGATATATATTAATTTTTCCGAGGTATAATATGGGTGTAATGAATACTGATAATTCAGAGCTACTGACAGCAATGCAGATTCTCATTATCGAAGCTAGATTAACTATGGATTTTGCATGAAGTTGCCTGAGATTACCATTTGGCAAATGCAGCATGAAGCCGATTATCTCTCCAAAGAGAGTGCTGATTTTTTATGTTGTAGCATGTTACCTTCTGACCACAGACAACCCTTTTTTCCCTGTGTAAAGCTATAAAAAGCAGATTTATCCTCCCACACATATCTACCACAAGGACTGTTGACAAGAATCTGTACTTTAAAGTAAAAGAAATTCTCAAATAGGAAGAGAAAATGGGGGGAAATGTGCTTCTTTGAGCTTTTAGAGAAAAGCCAAGATATAAATTTAATAATTAATAATTCCTATGGTCTTTTCTGTCAGCATTACCAGAAGCAATTTGCCATCATTTGGAACTTAAAAGATCCCCTTGTCTAGCAAACTGCAACATTCAAGTACTAATTAGTGTCAAATCTCCTAGCTATGCCAGCTGCTGAGGTATAACTGCATAGGTATATATCCACAAACAATTTGAAATAAAGAAGCAAATATAAGCTACGCACAAAGTGAACTCTTCTTTTCAAAATCAATAAAATGTAACCACCCAGCCATGTCAGAATAGCACTATGATCTTCAAGAATTCCAGATGACCTCCCCCCTCCAAAGGAATTTGCAAGTTACATCCCAATTACCCTTTTAAAGTATATGTATGATAATGCATGAGCAATCTAAGATCATGGAATCTTTGCCTTATAGCATTTATAGATAGCTGAGCGTTGATCACTATATACTTCTCTTCCTATTACGTCCTCTTGTCTGTTAGTCATGTGAAGTGACAAAATTAAAATACATGTGCTACCAGAATAAATCATGTGTAAGAAGAAAAATATTTTCTTATATGGTTTATACAGATCATAGATACAAGTTTGTTCTTAGAGCAGAAATCTATTATTTATTTATTTATTTATATTTTTATACTGCCCTTCTCCCGCAGGACTCAGGGCGGTGCACAGCCAAAATAAAACATAGTATACAAAATTTAAAAACAATTTAAAAACAATTAAATAATTTTGGCCCAAATAATTTAAAACAACCCAATTAAAACCGAATCAATTAAAACAGAGAGGATGGGATCAAGCCAGCCCGGCTAGATGGAATAAGTGTGTTTTCAGGGCCCAACGAAAAGTCCGGAGGTCTGATATCGTGCGTATCTCAGGGGGTAGGTCATTCCAGAGGGCTGGTGCCGCCACAGAGAAGGCTCTCCCCCTGGGGGTCGCCAGCTGGCACTGTCTGGCCGACGGCACCCTGAGGAGGCCCTCTGTGCGAGTGAACTGGCCGGTGGGAGGCTATTGGCGGCAGAAGGCGGTCTCCCAAATACATTTACAATACATAACTGCTTTGTGCTTTGAAGCCTATGTTACATAAAGATATTGATTTTTTTATTTCTATCTTAAAGCATAGAAGTCTCTGGAAATTCAAGTTAGTTAAAACTTTCACATGTTTACAACTAGTTTACCAGCTAGTAGTGCTCTGTGTGCCAAAAGCAGCACTTTTCTTGCCGGAATACTCAAGTTCATTTCTATTCAAATTGTTACAAGATACCAGCTGCAGTTGAGCCATAAAAGTGGAAAACAGCAAGGTTGAACGCAAGGCATTACTGTCTTCTAATGAATTAAAATGATGTCTGTGCATTATGTGGCTGCATGGGAAAAAGTGATTTGGCAAAGAAGTATCAGCTTCTTCAGTGATATCATTTGTCTGCCATTCACTCTTGACTAGCCATTATTGCAGTTAAGAAGTATACTTCCTTGGAGAGTTGGTGACTAAATATCAAGCTTGGGATGCAAAGCCGTAGTAGTCCAGGTCTGTTATAAAACTTACCCCAAGATAAAATTGTGCCCAAAGATTGGAAGGAACCAAAACATCTATATCTATGGCTGATTGTTACATATGCCTACATGTACAATTGTTTTACAAGCCTACAACTTGGGGCCGTGTTATTTGACAGACCGCCTCCCAATTATATCTATTCAGAGCAGTAAGGCAGGGTATTTTGTAGGTCCAACTATCAAGCAAGTACATTTGGTGAAACTTAGGAAAAGGGCCTTCTCTATGGTGGTTCTCACTTTGGAAGATGATTCCCCCAGAGATAAGATTGACCCACACATTGCTCTTCTGCAAGATCTTGGGCTTGGGGACCCCATTTGGAATGAATCATGTGGCTTGATTGATTCTGTTGTTGCCACCCTGGGGTGGTGTGGTTAAATTGTGAATTTTTAATGTACATTACACAGAGTTGAGCAGCTATATTAATTTGTTTAATAAATAAAAGGGCCCAATTATTATTCTAGAGTCTGTTCAATATTGCAGCTGCATGATCTGTAAGTAACATGCAATCCACCAATGCCAGAAATGCCATTGAGTGTTAGTGTGCAAAGCAGTGCAGATTTTGGGCAGTCCTTTAAAAGTGCTGTCTGGCAACTTGCCATCACCTCTATGTCATTCATTCGTGCATCACACTGGTGCATAAACTGTTAGTGTGTCTATTGCTGTTGTACCATTTGTATTTCCCTTCTTGTTAACATTTTTGATCCAACTACACTGTTCCTCTCACCTAGTTTCTCGGGTACAGTATTTGTTAAGTTACTTCCCAGATTTTCCAGATCAGCTGTTTCTTTGTCCCATATTTCTTTCTGTTTGATGATGGTAGAATAGGCGTCCTACTTCTCCCATGATGCAGTATGTTTTTAAAGAAAGAAATATTGCAATATAGAAGCCGAGTGCTATGGTAAATTGTGGGTGTAGAAATGAAAGTTATTTCTTCTTTTCAACAAGTCTGCTAAAGATAGCGGGAAAGGAAGGAGGTGCACATACGTAAGAATGAAAGGCATCTGCGAGTACATGAGGGGGATATGCATATTAGGGCTTTGCATCTTAAAAAATAATGCTTCAAAGCTCATGCAAAGAACCGCACCTATCATTCATAAAACAGCTCTTCTAGTTTAGGCTTCTGTAGAAGCTTGAAAGCATGGCAAAGTCAAGTTAAAGTTAATCTAGTGTTGGCGATACATCTTTTTTCAGGCTTACATAAAATACTGTAATAAGCCATATTATTTGAATGAATGGTAGACAGGTGCTATGCTTGTGCTAGGTCTGTGGCATGTAGCATGTTTTTTGAAGCATGTAGATTTCACATATGCCTGAGTACATTCACTTCCCAGTATGCATCACAAGAGCAGAGTGGATAACAACTCCAAAAAGGTTGTTCCTTCTACACACGATTATCTAACACAGTTGTTGACTAAGCAACAGGTTATGATCGGATCCACAAACATTACACTTGACTTACCTTAAAACCTTATACAGAAATACTGTATTTTGCATACAAGCAAACATTAGTATGAAAGTAGCTTTTATTTTTACTTCAAAATAAACACATTAACATTTATTCAGAATACAAATTAAGGAAGATTTGAAAAACAAGAAAAATGTGTAAACAATTCTAAATTTATCTTCCCTGTCTTTTTACTAAAAGTTTAATTCAAGGGTTATTGACTTCCCATCCCTTTTTGGGGAGTGGGGGTTGTTGTTAGTTAAAGATGTACAGTATGTCCAAACTACAATAAGCCAAAAGGGGGAAGGAGAAGAAAAAAAAAGGGGGTGGGAGCACAAATACAAAATTGCTCATAGCATTTTTCAGCTAATTTTGCGTATTTATCAAAAAAAAAATAAAATAAAGGAGGGGTGCAAAAACATTTGTATTATTAATTCCAAGAAGCTGATCTTCACCAGAGAGTTGTCTTATAGTTGAACTTTAATTTCAGCAGATACTTCAGTTTCACCTGAGCAATATCATAGACAATGTATCTGAAGAAAGTAATGAATGAAGGAAAAAACAAAGACATTTTTGATGTGTTCTTTTGCATTGCCAAATAAAATAGGAAGACATAAAAACTATTCTCCAAGCCCTCTCAGATTTCTAAAATGACTCAAGATGGGCGAGAATTCTAGGATTTTAGCCCAATACTTCTAAAAGGCAGCATACTGACAGATCAGTGGCATGACAGCCTTAGTAAGGTACTTGTTAAAGTTCCTGATACTGTATTTTAAACTGAAGTATGGCCTCTGGATTACCACGAGACATAATTCAATATAGCATGCTGCAGAAGTCAACCTGAGAGTACCAAGGTATGAGAACAGCAAAAATTCCTCTCTCCTCCAGAGCCAGGATCAGTACTCCAACTGAAAAAGCCCTCTCCTGTCCTCCAGTTACCACTTGAGAAGCATGGAGTATACCAAAATCCTATGCCACTTAACTGAAGGCAACTATTAAGAGAGAACAGTATTAATTTCCTTTGACTGCATGATTTATGGCATCACTATTTTATCATGTTTCGATAGTTTTCATTGCTTTTAGATATAAGATACTTATATCTTAAGATACTTAGAATTTTAGGAATAAGGGGCATGCAAATATATGGATAACTAAATAAAAAGTACAGGTTTTAAAACTCCAGCAAAGCCTATAGTACTTTCTCAGCTTCTTCTAATTGTCAAGGAGATTTATCCCAGAACTGCAGAGGTAACTTACTGTACATACTGATGCTAAAAAGTCCAAATTCATTAAGGTTAACAGTATGCACCTGGCTAGAAGCAACCACTTTCAGGTATCTCCAATGGCTATTTATATTCTGTTCCAATAGTGATCAAAGGATACTCATTATACATAAGACAAGTATTGCTAATTCCAGATGGAATTCCTTTTCCCAAAGGGACATCTGCACCATCAAGAGAAGCAATGGCTGTGGGATCTGGGGCTGTTTTGCCCAAACCTAAACAGGAAACAAACAAATGACTGTAATTAAATCTAA